AATTTAAAAAAATTAAAAATTACAATGCCTTTAATCTGTTCATATACGGTTTTTCTATATAATCAACAGATTTTAATTTTTGAAGTCAGACCTTTTTTTATCGGTACAGGGTGATTTGGAATTTGATGATGTTAAAAACCGACACTATGCGAGACCACTCTTCTTTCGAAAACCGAGCGCGGATTTAAATAAAATATGGCACTCTGATCACTTATATCTCCGACTAACATTGCAAGTTTTTGAATTAAATTTAAGGACGTTCACTAGTTGAGGTAAATGTGCGATATGTCCATATTTAAAAAATCGCACCCTTCCCAAAAAATATAAAGAAATGAGGCATAGCCCTTTTTTTAAATATTTAAAAATCTAACAACGAATTTAAGCAATTACAAAACTTTACCTGAATATTTATTTAAATTTAGTTCTCAATTGGAAAGCTGGTGGTTTTGCAAATATGTATCTTGTTAAATAACGACTCCTGGTTTTTTCTAATGAGCCCATATACTTGTATAAGCCAAAGGCTTAGTTCAAGTACAAGCATCTTCCATATGATCACTGCTTGCATTGACTTGTTGTCGTAACATTTCACGCATTTGCTGTGTTACCGCAAAACCTTGTCCATGTCCTGGTACTATATAATCACACAATTCTGCCATGCGTAAACGCTGTCGCTTCTGCGAGGATGCGTTTTCACTGCCGGCTTCCAACCAAATATTAGGATCAGCTATATCCTCAACACGCTCAAAAAGATCACCACAAACACCCACAACACCTTGTACGGTGTTGCGAACCAACACTGATACGCAGCTGAGTGTGTGTCCTGGGGTACGAACTACTGTCACGTCATCGCTACACAATTGAAAAGGTTCAGATTCCCCACGGGTTAGAGCACAATCCAAATACTTGTCACGATTGGAAATACAAGCACCTACAATATGCCATTCCGCTGCCCGGAAGAGATAATTACAGCCTGTATGATCGGAATGACCATGAGTACAGACCACCACATGTATATCTTTTGGCTGTAGGCCATGCAAGTTATGCAGCACCTCAGTCAGGCGTTCTCCATCCCAAGCGGTAAGTGTATCCACTATGATATTCCGCCCGTTACGAGTACGAATTAAAGTGCAGGTACAATTAGCACGGATGGCGGTCGAATCATTGTTATCCGGCCGTGAGTAGCCTATAAGAAGAACGTGAACTCCATTCCGTCCGTTGTTCATTTTATTGAGTGGGAGTCGCAGATTTTCTACTGCGCCAATTTTGAAAGATTTTGAAGTAGGATTGTTCGATATTGCATCGATTATTCTGAATAGTTTATGGTGCGTTAATCGATTTTATTAATCGTTAAATTGAAAGTACATAATGTTGTCAAAAAACTGACTCGTTTTATATGTATGAAGTAAGTTAAATGAACAAGCTGACGGTGACGGTGCCGAACGAATTAGCTCAACTCTAAATTTTGCTTATGCGATTGCGTCAAATGACAACTATTCAGTGTTTTGTTTACACGTTTGAAAGTAACTTTTTACAGTTTGTGAACATTTTTAGATTTTGTGGAAAACGAAATTTAAAAAATTTATGGAGCAAAACCTAACAGAAGAAGTGCAAAAGTAAAACGCAAATTTTGCTAAGATTGGCAGCGATTTTATGATTTTTCGGACGCTACGTCAAACGGATAGTCTGTAACTTGACGCATAAGCATCGTTNTATCAGCTTGACTCGTTTTATTTGTATGAAGTAAGTTAAATGAACAAGCTGACGGTGACGGTGCCGAACGAATTAGCTCAACTCTCAATTTTGCTTATGCGATTGCGTCAAATGACAACTATTCAGTGTTTTGTTTACACGTTTGAAAGTAACTTTTTACAGTTTGTGAAACTTTTTAGATTTTGTGGAAAACGAAATTTAAAAAAATTATGGAGCAGAACCTAACAGAAGAAGTGCAAAAGTAAAACGCAAATTTTACATAGATTGGAAGCGATTTTATGATTTTTCGGACGCTACGTCAAACGGATAGTCTGTAACTTGACGCATAAGCATCGTTGACGGTGACGTTGTCGCAATAGATGGCATGCACGATTGAGAGAATACAAAGGTTGCGCCGATCTCGGACCGCTATTCCTCTCTTAACGAATTTGACAGAATCGTTGTTTGCATGAGGTCACACTTGTGCAACTTGTTTACGTTTTCCTTGCAACATTTTTTCTTCTTCTTCGATTCTTGCTCACGTTTTGGCATTTCTCTCTCGCAATTGCACCAGTGTGACGTCACTCAAAAGTTATTCTCAAAAATCCTCTCTGATCGGCGCAATCTTGTATTATATCATTCTTGGATGGCATGTACTCTTGACCCAACTACGCACGTTCTGACAAGATGAATCAAAAGAAAAAAATGATTTTCTGGCTGACGTTTGTAATTTCGGCGCCATGCTATTTTCTTTGAAATTAAACAAAGAATATGAAGACGAAGCGCAAAGAAAAAATGCAACTGTGCTAACCAAATTATTATTTTGTGCGTGTTTTTGCCACCAATCATCGCGCACTTTATTTTAATTACATTTGCACAAAAAATTTATTGAAAATCGCNACTATTTTCTTTGAAAAGTAAACAAAGAATATGAAGACGAAGCACAAAGAAANGCTATTTTCTTTGAAATTAAACAAAGAATATGAAGACGAAGCGCAAAGAAAAAATGCAACTGTGCTAACCAAATTATTATTTTGTGCGTGTTTTTGCCACCAATCATCGCACACTTTATTTTAATTACATTTGCACAAAAAAATTATTGAAAATCGCTTAAAAATCACTGAAATAAACCTCCGACAAAATACACATTAAGCAAGAAGCAAAACAGAAATAGCAAGCTTCAAAATTACAAACGTCATACTCTTTTTTCTCAATTGGTAGTACAAATGGCTGCTTCTCAACCGTTCAGTTCTGTTCTAATTGGTTCATGGCATGTACTTTCACTTTAACTCCAAGTCATGAACGAACGACACAAGATCACGCAAGAACAAGAGAGTGAAAAAAGTCGATTTTTGAGCGGGATGGCGTACATCTTGTTTCACTGGAAAACGAAAGAAAAGTAAACAAAGCAAGGAAAACAACGAAAACCAAAATTAACTAAAATTATTGTCAGCCAATTTAGAAATACAATTAAGGTAAACAAGGCACATTATCTTCTCCGTGCGAATTGGTCGTCATAGATATGGATCTGACCATGAACCAATTAGAACAGATCTGACCAGTTGAGAAGCAGGCATTTGTAATAGCGATTGAGAAAAAAGTGTGTGACGTTCGTAAATTTGAAGCTTGCTCTTTCTGTTTTGCTTCTTTCTCTAAGTGTATTTTGTCAGTGGTTTATTTCAGTGATTTTTAGGCCATTTTCAACAAATTTTTTTGTGCAAATGTAATTAAAATGAAGTGCACGGCAATTGGTTGCAAAAATACGTAAAAAATAATAAATTGCTTAGCACAAACATGTGCTACAAAATTGCTTGAATTTTTTCTTTATGCTTCGTCTTCATATTCTTTGTTTACTTTTCAAAGGAAATAACATGGCGATGAAATTACAAACGTCAGCCAGAAAATTACTTTTCTCTTTTGTTTCATCTTGTCAGATCTTGTGTAGTTGGATAATGGGATCTGACTAAGCGACTAGAACACGACAGTTTGTCCAAAGCATACGATTTCACATGTACGTAGTTAATTTTTTATTTGCAAATAACTAAATCAAGTAAATAAGTATTGATTAGTGGTATTATTTGCAAATAAGCGCAAGACGCCGCCATTCTTAGGTTTATTTTCCTTTTCGATGTTCATATTATTGCCTTTTTATAATCGGGCAATATTAAAAAAAAATTTTACCATCGAATAAACAGTGAGTTAGGTATTTGCAAATTATTTTTATTTGCAAATAGCTTACGTATAAACATAGTAATAGAATCCTTATGTTACAACTCTTATGGAACACCAAGTGTGCATAACTGAGCTATTAAGGTCTCGCAAGAGGGAAATTCTTTTCTGCGTCACAGGGATGATTTTGACTGACAAAACGCACAGAACATGCCGAGACGTAACAATGAAAACGTTTCCGCAAAAAACGGTTCAATATGATTGGCCAAAAATCAGCTGATTCGTTCCATAGTTTTTTGTTGTTGTTGTTGATTTGCATATGCGTGCGTCAAAAGTTTAGAGTTGAAAGTTGCGTTTAGAGTTGAAAGTTGCGGCAATGCATGCGTTGCCAATGTGGCGT